AAGTACAACATGTGAGCGATTCGTGTATACATTCCTTCATAAACATTTCATCACTATCCCAAGCGAAAAGTACAAACCGTTACAATGGAAGCACTAACTTCAAGCTTTATTTTTCCACAGGTAATACCTGTAATGTCCAGATACAAACCTGGTTTTTTTGTTAATCCGAAGACAATACTTCCACTCGCCCAACTTGTAAATTTTCTGCTTACTTATTCTGCTGGGATGTTCCATTATATGAACGTGCAGCGCTCCTATCTTCTAGTAACAAAAGGTGAGGATTGAGATTACCTTCCATGAAGATACACGTAATTTATATATAAACTTATTCACACCTGTAGAAATGGTGTCTGCCTGCATATACAGGAATAAGTGCTATTATTATTATTATTAAAATCCCCGAAATGTGACGACATCTGGCTAGCTTTGTTGAAACGGTGCGCGGGCATCCCGTGCGATCCTCCCCGTAATGTTTCAATACTCCTTAGACAATCATACGCTTCCAGAGTAAAGCCACCATTATCGTGGACCCGACTCAACCTAATACTTCCCTGAAGACATCTCCTCCAGTTACCATCCAGTACTAGTAGTTTTCAGTTTTCAGTTACAAGCGTAGTAGGCCAGTTGTCCTGCGTTAATCCTTGCAGAAGATATCTCTGTGAGGATCTAGTTTTCCCTTGAACGCGTTGACGGAAGGTGCTGATGCAGTTTGCTGAGGTAAGGAGTTCCAGGCATTGACAACACAATGTGAAAAACGCAGACTCATGCTAAGTTGATTCGATCGTGGTTTTTGAATTTTCTTGTGATGCCCTCGAAGATAGTCAGTCCTAGCAGGAGTGAAAAGATGGGACATATCAGCATTGAAGTCATTATTAAGAATACGTAATGCCAGTTTCCTACAGAAAGACAGTAGGAATAAGTTCAGCTGATCTAGTCGTTCCTCATAGAACAGATTCCAAAGGCCTACCACAAGCTTAGTACTTACACTTCAAACACGCTCGAGTGTGCCAGCATCCTTTTTTAGGCATACACTGGCTGCCTGAATGCAGTATTCCAAGTGAGGTCTAACGTAAATAGAATAGAGTATTCTGAACGTGTCCTAATCAAAACATTTGAAAGCTCTGCGGAAGGACCATAATGCGCGAAAGCCCTTTGCTGCAGCTGCATTACAATTTGTCACGGTCTTCAAATCATGGCTAATGATGGCACCCTAGTCTTTTAGTTCAAAGACTGGGAGTAGTGGTGTACCATCAACGGAACACTGGAAACAATTGCTGTGACCATTGTGCATGATCGCACTTTTGTTAGAGTTGATTTCCAGGCACCAGCGTTTGAACCAACCTATCAGTTCATTTAAATCCACTTGAAGTGCATACCTATCTGCATCACTGCATATGACTCTCCAAATCCCCGCATCACCAGGGAAGAACAGTACCGAAGAATTGAGCATTTTCGGCAATTCGTTGATATATAACAAGAAAAGTAGTGGACCTAGGATTGTTCCTTGAGGAACTCCACTCGTCGCAGGTTTCCACCTGGATAATATCCCATTTACCCTCACTTTTCGCCTTCTATCGTACAAAAAGTCCCTTTCCAAGCTTGCAATGAAGCACGAAACCCGAAAGAGGAGAGCTTTCCCAGTAATTTCACATGCGACACTTCGTCGAATGCCTTACTGAAGTCTACAAGCACGGCATCTGTTGGCAGCCTGCAATCATGGGCTGCAACCCATTCCTCTCTTGCGGCAAGGAGGTTAGTTAGACAGGAGTGTCCAGTAGGGAAACCGTGTTGTTGTGGTGTCAAAAGATTGGTTTATTCAGCATGTTTAAGTATCTTATCACGAATTATTTTTTCTGAAATCTTAACAACCATGCTAGTTAAACTCACAGGGTGATAGTCAGACAACCAAAGACGACTACCAGTCTTAAAAACTGGGCTGGTTACGGCAGTTTTCCTGTCTCTAGGGCGGCGAGTCTGAGTTAAGTATATACTGAAAAGATCCGTGACTGACCCAGCAATAATGTCTGCTAGTGAAGATAGAAGTCTGGGATGTAACTCATCGGGACTCGAGGATTTTCCAGGTTTAAGATTAGTGAGCAACTGTAGGACCCTTTCCTTTGTTGTGAACACAGCGTCCATTAGTGGAACAGTACTGACACCACTGTTTAGCACCCCATGGTCATGATCTACAGAGTAGACTTCACTAGAGTAACCCGATAGACATTCAGTCTTGGACAGATTTGATTCCACCAGACTATCGGACTTTTCGTCTGTCGCCAGAGAGGGAAATTCGCATTCCTTCTGATGAATCCGGACAGTCTTTCAGGACAATTTTGGCAATCCCTCACAAGCTGTTTCTCATAGGACATTCGAGACTCTTTTATCAAAGTTTTGCAGAGATTACGGACTTTAAAGTACCCAGTCTAAAATGTTTCGAGTCCAGTTTCTAGAAACAAGTCCCATAAACGTTTTGTCTGCCTTGCTAATGTCTTTATCAAACCATGCAGTGCGATATGAAGGTCGTCGTGGAGTCGAACATGGAATAAATGGTGTCGTTGCCTCTTCAAATAGAGTCCTAAATCTATTCCATGCATCCTCAAATGATGAGTCCTTGTTGACGGTGCAATCCTTACTGACTGCACTATCCCTTACACTTGAAATATCTGCACATCATACACTAGGTCTAGAGAGGGCAGTGTCAAAATCAAGCTCATTAGTACGAAAACGAAAGGTTAGTACTTTATGGTGGCTGTTAGCTAATGGAGGGAAGTGTCGTAGATTCAAAATGTCTTCACATTGATGGGTCAGAACTAAATCTAATAACTTTGGCTTGTGTTCAAAATCGTTACGTGTTGCACATGTTACGTTTTGAACCATCGCAGATTCTAACACTGTCAAGAGTAAGTCATTTTCAAAGGAACTGCCCGACGCTGAGACTGTTAGCTCGGTACAATTTGTGTGGAGTGTTCAGACCCCTTACTATTGGGTATCTGTTGCTTCTACTCCAGTTACGTATATGGGTTGGTATGAAGTCGTTTACGAGGCAGGGTGGACTGCGGTAAATGACCCCTATGGTACAGAAAGCTTGCTTTGACTTCATCTTGCAACTGGCCACTTCACAGGTCCCTCATTCAAGCTCTTTGGACGTGACTAATCTTGTGTGGACGTAATCCAGAACATAGAATGGTATGTCATCACCTTTGTGACCCACAACCTATCTATCTTTAAACAGTAATACTGTGTGAGGAGTGGCGTGAAACCTGGATCCTTTATTAGCCAGGTTTCAGTAAGAGCTACTACTATGTCAGAGCCTAGTTCGGAGATTAGAGTCTCGAGGTCTATCACTTTACTTCTAATACTGCGAACATTAGTGTAGATTATGTTCACTATGTTGGAAGATTTCCAAAACAACCGAAAACCCACTACTTTAAGATCGTTTTCCCCATCAATTTGTCGACCATTAATTCCGGCAATGGCTTCTCTTCTTCTATGCGGTCCTCCAGAGGCCTGTCAGGTCAGATGCGAACATCCGGATTCCTAGTTGGGATGCGCTACTCAAGAGTACATCCACTTCTTCCACGTTTCCTAAAACAACCTTTAAAATTCTCTTCTCATCAGGTTTTTCATCCGTTTTCTTACCTAGCCTGACTACTTTGGAGATGTGTACCCCTTTAGACTTTTCAGGTAGAATACGTCTGATGGCTGACTCAACTACTTTCAGGTCATGGTCGTGATGTATTGAAGCATCTTTGTCTGATAACTTCCCAACATTCCAGAAGATCACACTGGGTATTGGAGTGAAATCCTGGAGTCGTGTGTTGACGGCCTTTGAAATCTTCCCAGTAGGTTCATAAGCCTAGTAGCTTCAGTGGTAACCCTTGGCGGTTTCCTCGAATGCTTTCTTGGAGAAATCCATGTAGGTTCGTTGACCACCTTTACAGGGTCATCACTGTTACCAGAGATGCAGTCCTTTGGTGAACCCTCAGGCATTATAGTTGGTGTACTATTTGCCCTCGGTTTCCTCTGGCATCGAGTACGCTTCGGAACTGGTGTAATTTCACCAATCAGATCATTAGCTTCCATTAGTCCATTGAGAGATCCTGTGTTGGAAGCATTAACAATAACGCTTGCTGCGTCACCATCTGATGCCTCATTGGGATGACAGCTATCATTTCCACATAGCTGTCTATTGACGAGTAACATTTCAACAGCTTCCTGGATTGGGGCTGACAACGGCTTGCAGCAGAAATCACATAACTAGGGAGAAGCTGGTTTGCTGCAACGCTTGTACATGGTTGGTGTCAATCCGATACAAACTTTGAGGAACCAACACCAACGTGCATCACATTGCATACCTTCACCCACCGAAAATTTAAAGCTGGGACGACCGCAAACATGGTTATTGCTGGCCATGTTATTCACTAGTACCGCGTACTAACTGAAGTATTCGGTCAAAATTCCGAAGCGAGGACTTAAGTTGTGACTTCACAAAGAATAACCTTAAGCCTCAAAAATGATTAAACTTCAAACACTGCCTCAAGTAATTCAAGTCAAGGTTTATAAGAAAGCCTCTGTTGTGGATTATATAACGAAAGGGAAAATGTCAAAAGCGTGAAAAAGTTCACTTCCAGTTTTCAAAGCCCGCGGTCTGGTGCTACTATCTTTATCCCCGTAACCCGTCCTGAAACCTTGCCTGCTCCTAGTCTTCTCCTCGAATCTATGTTCCCACACTAGCTACCAAAAATTCCTCCCATCACCTATCTTTTGTGAATCTACCTAGGTTTTTCATTCCCTTACTCCATGCTTTCTTCCATCTTATCGTTTTCTTCGTTTCTTCTTCGCGCTTCCTCTCCCTTGATTTCCCTGGACTTTTCTTTTAAATTCTTTCTGCAACCAGCCTGACCAACTTGGTTGTAATACGACAATTGATAAACCCATCTGCGCCACAGTCCTCAAAAACCATACAATCTTAAATTTAATCAACACGCTACCACCCGTCGGGCTAACTTAACTACAGCAGTCTAGTAGGTGGACTTACTGCGTCAGAGTCGACCAGAGACCTGAAATCGTTCCCTAAAACCTAAAAGCAAGTGCGAAGAAATAAGCTGGTTTACACTAGCTCGCAGAAAATATTGGAAATTGAATTGGATAGTGTGAAACACAGCGGTATTTTAAGAGTAACGACACAGGTTAGTTTTTATATTGCTTTGCTCGAGAAGTCGTGTCTAATGTCTAAGTTGGTTCGTAAGATTATAAACACTTCTAAGGCACCTAAAGCGATCGGCCCTTACAAGTATCTGCGATTCTTTGCTCTCACTTTGCAGTCAAGCTGTAGCTGTAGACAACACTCTGTACGTTTCAGGACAACTGGGCTTAGTTCCTGAAACAATGGCTTTTGCCGGAGACGATGTTGAGTCACAAGCTCATCAGTCTCTAAAAAATATCAGAGAGATAGTTCAGGCTGCTGGTTTTTCAATGCAGAATATTGTTAAGACTACTGTGCTTCTAGCTGACATGAATGACTTTGGGAAAATCAATTCGATTTATGAGCAATGTAATCTTCCTAATAAATGCTTTAACTTTTTTAGACTTTGAGGATCCTTTTCCTGCTCGAGCTGCATACCAAGTAGCTTGCCTGCCAAAAGTATGTGTTTTTTTGGCTTAACTTGCAATTTAGAATGGGAAAATAGAGATAGAAGCAGTGGCGATGCGCGAATGAATAATACGTAAATAAAGTGAAGCAGTTTTCGTATCAATCGCGTTTATCTGGGAAATTTTGAATCTGTTTATCAATTTAATGATGAATAAACAAAGTCGTAGTTCCTCACAACTTTGGCGTATTCTTGCAAATGCAATCAGGAATACTCGCAAGGAAGAGAGGCTTTTAGACACCCTTCAATGTCTTGAACAAAAGTGCAGTGGACTAGATTCTTTAGTGATGAAAGTTTTTGAAATACGTTTGTTAGGACAAACTACAGAGGTGATTGCCATCCGCATAAACGTTTTAGTAAATTTGTTTTTCTGTAAGTTGTTTCTATTTGGCCGCTTGAGTTGGTGAATAGGTTCTACCTTTTGCTAGACCTACGCTAAATATTGTAATCCGGAATGCAGTTCACGGTGCCCTGTGAGTTGCTAAGGTTCTGTTTATTAAATGTGCGTAGTATATGTGGGGGATCTACTGTACTCAGCGCAAAGAACAATATCCGGATTTTCAACACCAGTGTCAAGTCAATGCTGCTGCATGGTTCAGAAACTTGGCGCGTTACGAAAAGTACTCCCAACAAACTACAGACATTCATCAACAGCTGCCTACGCTCGATACTGATGATCAGATGGCCAGAGTAATAAGAACAAGCAACAAGGAACTCTGGCAACGAACCAACCAAGAACACGTCGCCCAATAAATATACAGAAGAAAATGGAGATGGATTGGATCGGACATAGACTGAGGAGACCGATTGGGGACATCACGCGCCAGGCCCTCGAGTGAGATCCAAAGGGGAAACGACTAGTTGGGTGTCTCAGCTGGGGGTGACTTGGAGATCATGTGAAGAAGAAATGAAAGCTTGTGGGCAGTGGTGGAGCGAGGTTCAAAATACTGAAGAGAAGAGAGTGCAGTGGGGGCATGCTACTGAAGCTCCGTGTTCCACTAGGAACCCAAGGGGAAATAATAATGATAATGGTGTATGTAGGGAATAAATAATTCGTATTTATCTATCGTGGATACGAAAAAACAGCTAAATCACCACAAAATGCCACAAACTTAGTCGTTCCTTTAGGACTAGCAGTGAAATGTTTCCTCAAATCACTCGGTATAAATTGGATCAAAATCGAGCACCAAAAGGTTTGTCCCATCGTTTAGTGATTTTAACTCAAGCGTTTAGTTTATAAGTTATTCAGAGGAAGCTTAACGCTCTATTCTCATGGTGACTGTCCAAAACGGGCTCTTTCACATTCATTCTTTATGAAAAGTCTTGCCACACTTATTCATTAGTTAGCAATTACTGTTTTCTTAGTCCTTTAGGTAGATTCTATTTACTCCTCAAATTCTGACACTGGACAGCCAATTACATTCCCTTGCTTTCGTGAGTTGCTACGTGTAGGCAATTAATGAGACTCATATGACAGGTTGCATTTATTTCAGGAGAAAAGAGATTTTACCCACTCAGTAATGTCAGAGCACTTGAGGTCAAAGTAAAATAAGCAGTGGCTTTTTCGAATATGCACCACACTTCTCAACAACCAGAGCTGAATTACTTGGAATTATTCACGCATAAATACATGATTTCTGAAGAAAGAAGGGAAAGGCCGCGGGTTAATTTCATATCGTTTAGTGTTTTACATTTTTCACTATCCGTATGCCTCATTAAATAACATTAGTTTTATTCTTCATAAGTGAAAGTCACATTGGGTAAAGTTTTATCTTGGCTTTCTAATTTGATTTAGTTTAAGTCGTAAAAGTTTTCGTCCATTAAGTATTCAGGTTTCGCTAACTTCTGGTGCAAATATATCATGTGTCTACTACTGTTTTGAATAAATGCCTGGGTCATCGGAATATGACAATATAAAACGCAATTAAACATTTCCAGAAGTACTGCACCAACAGTGACTTCCGTGCATTATAACTAGACATGTAACACCATTGGAACAAAAAATCGAATTTGTATTGCAACCATTTAGTTTCTGAGTTATCCTGACTCCAGTATCAGACCATGAACCTCCTAGCTGTGTAGCGGCAGCGAATTAAATGGTTAACTAGGTTTTTATTTATATAAAACAGTATGTTTTTCTCATATGATAGACGCAAATTGCCTGTCAAACTTTTCCATGTTATAGCCTGATATGTTTAGACAATGTTACATTCATCTGAATTCCGCACCACACAGGACTACGTTTTATTCACCGTCAAAAGTGATGTTTTAGGCTTTGATGTTACTTTCAATATTCGGGATTATTGTATTCTACTCGTAAGTCAAACGATGGTCTGAAGGCTGAACACCATCCAGTTAGGTGTCGGGTACTAATTTAGTGTAAAAAGTACCTTTACACGTTTAGGTAGGAATCTTCCATGGGTTTTGGTTGGTCTTATACTGTAAAACCATCATCTTGGAAGATGCAAACAATCAACATCGAGTGTAAGTAGTTAAATCACAATAGGAAATGTAAATTACATGTCGATTGACAGAAAAACAGGCTAATTTCCTGACGTAATACTAACTTTTTCACTCGCAATTTTGTGCCAAATTTACGCACAGTTATCTTTAGGAGAACCAAGGACTATAGTGCGCAGCTAACATCGTGTGCCAACCATATGCATTCATCATTAGATGATATATGCTCCTGCGAAAAATCTAGTTATTTCAGTGGTCGTCCACAAAGTACCATATTATTCTTTTCGTACCATTTGTGTTTAGTGAATACGCTGCTGCTGTAGTTTCTTGTTTCAAGGGTTTTTAAGACCAGTTGAATAACGTAAGCCAGAAAGTAGACAAATTGCGTTATCATAAATCAACAGGCTTTAGGTGTTATTCAGATTTAGGTATAAGCTGTGTATAATATCGACAAACAAGCAGGATCTAACGCAATTATGGTCACTCAAGTTCTGATGAAACATAAATAGTTTATCACTTTATGGGTAGTTAAAGCCCAATAATCTTATGTTACCTTCATATGTCTATGTAATTGGCTGATGACTTTTCATCTGATATAGCAAGAAAATATTTTGAAAAGTTCATACTCCCTACTCAATTCAGAGCAACTGCTAAAATATCATTTATTTTATAATTACTGAATTACTGGTCGATTCTCATAGAACTACTGTGTAACTATACTGACTACTTCCATTTCAGTCTACTTAGGAGAGATGTCACAGTGAAACAGCCATTTACTGGATAACGTTTCGGACATAATTTATTGTTCATATTCATGTCAGGTATCAGTTTATAAAGTCCTAATAAAATAGCATTACAATCTACCACACTGCCCGAGTTTTACTCCTTTATAAACTGACTACTGTTAATACATTGATTTCAGTTTGCTTGTTTTAATTGAAACTAACTACTTAGTTATAAATTTCCGATCATTAATTTGCGTTGAATTTCCGCATTGCTTGTTAACGTAGAACATTGCAAAGAAGTGCACAGATCCAAGTTCCTACACTTCACAGTAGCATGAAAAGAAAACCTGTGTAGAAAAAGAGTGATATCAAAGAAGACAAGTGTATGGAAGAAGAAATAAATTGCAAAATAGTCAGTGAAAATATTCAGACTTCAGAAAACGTCAAACAGTGCATGCATCTCCATTGTGACCCATCGTCAGCCATGTCACCAACAGTTTCCAATCATTCCTATTATCTCTGTGACTGCAGTCGGGCAGTTTATATCTTCCTACATGACTCAGATCGACAGTCAGGGACTTCATGGACTGGTTCTACGTCTAGTTTGGTCGTTCTGAGCCTTCTTCCTCTACAGGAGAGGGAGGAAATTCTCTTGTAACTCCAACGAAACCAACCTGGCAAAAATAGTGGTTCTGTGATCAATAAAACTTTTAAGTGGAGCTCAAGAGCAGCGAATCTGAGAGAAACAGGCAGGTTTCAGACTTGGTCGTGGGTATATCGACGAGATACCCTCCATGTTCAGGCACACTTAGCGACAGTAACTGCACTTCTAGACCTAAAGGTGACAGTCGACTCTATCAATCGAGAAGTCTCCCCGCAGTTTTTCTCTGTAAGGGGGTACCGAGTAAGTACATCACTCTATTGAAAGGTCAAACACCTGTGAGCGTGTTGCAACCTATGGTTAATCATACATGTCGAGTGGTGTCTGTCAAATATATCCATTCTTACTCAACTTTATCACTGACGTACTTAAGGGGAGCTGCCTCTCATCATCTGACTTTACAGAGATTGATCTTATCACAAATGAGTCCTTGGTTAGTACGGAGTACGCATATGAGATAGACCTGCTACGGGAAGCTGTTGACAAGTTACAGTCTTCCGGACACGTTGAGTGGCAATTTGACAATGATTGGGATGCGTTTTTCGCCATCCAAATGTAAATTATTCCTCCAGGACTGCTCCTTGCCATCCCTCACTATGCGCAGTCATTGAGAATGAATATGATTTACGTTTAAGCCGCCTTCCACTCTTCATTGTAAGGATAACCGACTGGAATAAACCTCTTACTAATCAGTTTGGATGAGGGCGGTTGTGAAAATCCACTGGAAAATCTACTAACCTTCGGACATAGCTTACTAGTTTTCCTTGTCGCTATTTGTGCAACAGACTGACTATTATGCCGGGTTTTCTGTAGAAGAGAATTGCTGCCATGTTCAAATAAATGCTTAGCTATCCCCTCGCTAAATACACACTTTTCATCCGCCTCCTCCAGTTGAGCAGACAAAAGCTTCACTGTTGTCTATAACCTGTAACCAGTAAGGTAAAAACACGGGCCTATACTAGGGTATAAATGGAGTGCAAAGAGGTAATCCAAAAATAAAGAGCAACAGTCCTCCACTGGTTCTCTTCACTGATGTCTTAGCAATATGATTTGTGTGTTGACCCTTTGTTGACGGACACCAAGTGAGGCAGTGTCTCTCCCTATGCTTGGAGTTAGCCCTGATCAGAAACAAGTGATTGTCAGAGGTGAATTATAAGGGATTTTCACTGTTGTCGATTTTACAGCATAGGATATCGTAGATACCTTCGAGATGCCTTTCCGACCAGCTCGATTTTCTTACTTGAGTGTTAAAGTCCCCTGCTATAGTGGTTATTTCTAACATTTTGCTTTGTGTAGCAAAATTATAAGCTTTCGATGAGACTTATCCTTTACATCTTCCTACTTCAGTAACTGGGCACCTAGGCGAAAGCTAGAAATGGCCATAAACAAGTGTTACGGTCTTCTACAGTTCTTACAAATCCATTTAGTTACTCAAAGTACAAACGGTTATTGACTGTATCCCGTCGAGAAATGCACTTTCTGCTCTGAAGCTTAGTGTTAGACCTACACCAGCGAGTTTTTGAGAT